TCCTTAAAGACCCCTGACATGGACAAAAGTAATCATTCTATAACCGACACTCTGACTTCAGCTCCAACTCCAACACGCAGACATCTCGTGTTCGCTTGTTTATTCAAACTTAATAATATAAATCTTGCAACTCAAACCAAAGCTTGCTGGAACATGATTACTCAATGCTACTCAGACAGCAAACGGAAACCAGAACCTTTCTGACACCAAACTCTTGACTCGTTGCATGAATGCAGAATATGTCGCGGTCCAAATCGCACCAACGTCCACACTGCACATCCTTGGGTGCCCATCAATGCACGCGCCAAGTGTGAAGTAGATCGAATGAACGGTTCTCAAGATATGTGAAGAACACACAGACAGAAACACAGAGTTTCACTGCTTTATATTATGATTGCACTGGTTTACCCAAGAAAACATGCACGGGAGACCTACCACACTCTTTCTATCCCGTGCATGTGCACATAAACACACACACACACACACACAGACTCATCTGTATATTACAATGTCAAACAAATAATTATACACACACTTACACAGCATTGCGTGACTGCAGGTCTAAACAAACAAGATTTGCATGACTAAAAATACCTCAGGGAAACCTGCTGTTTGTGTGTGTGTATGTATGTGTGTGTGTGTGTGTGTGTGTGTGTGTGTGTGTGTGTGCTGTGTGACCACTCATGCATGGATGCATGCAGGTCTTACCGGCACGTGCACAGGGGATCACACAGAGAGACACATTTGTCCTGTAAAAGTGATCTGAACCGATACAAAGCTGACACACAGTTATTGTTCATTTCAATGATGGAGAATGATGGGAGAGAGAGGGAGGGAGGGAGGGAGAGAGAGAGAGAGAGAGAGAGAGAGAGAGAGAGAGAGCTATATAATCACAGGCAGAGTGAGACAGGGAAAGTGCTGTCATCTGCAAAAAGACACAGGGTGATGGGCTGATGACTTTACGCTCCGTCGGTCTGCAGCCGTCTCGACGGCGACACGTCGAAGGTGGAGGGTCAAACTCGTTCCCCTCCGTTGATTCTCTAACTGGAGAGATCAGCGCCGGCTATCGGACGCACTTCCCCTCCTCTCTGACATCGCTCTCAGCTGAACACAAACTGTGCCGTCATGAATTATAAACAGTGACAAGATGAGTCAGAGAATATCTGAATACCAGAACAGCATGTAGTGACTTAAAGTCCTCATGAAACCTCTTTAACATCTCTTGGTTTATCTTCTGGTATTCCTTCGGTTTTTCTCTTGTTTTGATCCTTCCACGCCGTCTCTTTCTGTTCGCTGTCAGGCTTTCTCTGCCTCTACATCTTTCCTTTTGATTTCCATTTCCTTCCAGTTTGTTTGTGTTCCTTCTCCGTTTGCATCAACCTTGTATGTTATTTATGTTTCCTGCCTACACTGTGTCAAGAGGTATGTTTGCTTCCAGACTTTGTGTCTGTCTTAATACCACTTCCAACTCCAACTCTCCTTGAGCTGCTACACTTCAGATACACTGCTCCCTCTTGTCCCATTACTGCCTGCGAAACAAGAAAATGCTAAATATGGCCGTCTTGTTCTGGAGGTGAGAACATACATGAAGGAGCACAATTGTTGCATCACATTTGGAGGTTAAACGTTGACAAATGAAATCTAACACTGGTATTTTAGAGCAGAAGTAAAAACAGCACAGTGTATTAAATTCAAAGGAGGAGTTGAAACATGACCGTCAGGACTTCATTTCCATCAGTGGTTGACAGCAGCTGCTGATCATCTGCGGGGGACAGAGGCCTCCAGCCGGTATTTGATACCTCACAGCTGGACGAGTTTCATCAGATCAGTGGGAAAGTCACTCATCTCCGTGTTGGTGATCAATCATCACAACACGGCGAGGGCGGAATCTGGAAGCATCAGATGCATGAATGCATACCTTCAACAGTTCAGTGCTGACACACAAGTAGTCCTTGTGCTTTGTGCGAGCACAGCGTCTGTGCAGCGACATGGAGCGAAATAAGAACGGGTTCTCAGCAGTGCTGCCCAGTCGTATGACTGCTAGGTCCTAAGTACACCAGCTGTGGGTACCGATCTACTTGGCCCACACTCAAGCAGAGATGTGGGAGCTCCTCCACCAAGTAAGCAGGTCTAACAGTGATATGTTGGCAGGAAAAGCCTACGTACTATTGTATGAGGATGAGTTGCATAGGAGCGTACAATGTGATTCTTGCATCAGCACCTTTAGAGCTGTAAAGCTGTAAATTACTAAACTTGCTCACACACACACACACACACACGGTTGCAATCGAAATTTCGCCTCAAGCTGATTATTCCCCTTAGAGAGAGTATTGATGAACACATAAAAATGCTTCTTGATGAAGTCCTCCGCCATGTCTTTATTGTGAGCAGTAATAGTAATCAGCACATTCCTGAATTCATCCCTGCATTCCTGTTGGAGATGAAGCCAAAGAGCAGAAGTGATTATGAAAGTGTAATGCTCGTCTGAGCTGCTGATTTGCATTTTGTTTATGCGGAAAAGACTGCAGAGGCAGCTTCACGTCTCCTTGCGAGGGGGGTGAGTGGCACCTTTCGTGAAGAGAGGAACATCTTCTATCAGATACGAGGGGGGTCACACGTTTGTTCCAGATCTGTGCTCACACCATACTATCGTAAGAGACGAGGGCAGAGGGCAAACTTGTGACATATTTGCGATACTCAAAAAAAAATTGATTTCCAGTAGATTTATTTCTTCAAGAGGTGTTCCAGTAGTTAAATTCCACTCTATGCTTTTTGTTCCTCATCCCTCCATCGGCCTTCATCACCTCCCCCTCATCCGACAACTCCTCCTCTCGTCTCTCTACCTCCGCATCGCTTAATTTATCCCTCCGCCCGTCCGTACCTCCATCACGCGAGGTGCTCATCCCCTCCCTCATCCATCCATCCACTCCTCTCTGAATCATCGCTCCATTGTTATTCCCTCCTCACGCTCATTACTCACTCGCTCCTCGTCCCTCTTCGGTCGGTCGTTTCTCGGCCCAGCTGTCGTTACTCACTTCATTCATGAGCTTTCGCGCCGTCTCGCTCGCTCCGTCTCTTTTCTCATCGTTTTGTGTTTTTTTTTTTTTATCACAGGCAGAATTGGAGTCACTTTGCTTCGCAGAGGACGATGAACAAACGGTCATTTGTATCAGTGGCAAAAATGGTGAAATACTAGACGTATGAAGTGGAAGCCAACGGGCAAAAGGGCGCTATGGACAACAGGCTGCTTCTTTTAATCATCTAACTATTCCCGTCATCTGTCATCCTCTGGGCATCACTTTCCGTCAGTAATTCAAACTCCATCTTTCTCTGCAAGCCTTCATCCGTCTCCCGACTTTTCACTTCTTCGCCTCTCTCTTTGTCCATGTTTAATTTTTATGTGATGCCTTTGTTTCATTCTTATTCTCCTCCAAAAGTGATCCCTCTCTTTATTGACTCTTTCTTTCTTTGTCCCATTTAAAACCCCGCTTTGATATTTGTACAGCCCTGTGTCTTCTCTAGTGCAGCCGTTCATTCAGGATCATTCTTTTGTTTGGTACAAAACGTTAATTAATGGTTGTGACAATGTGAGAGGTTTGGTTTATGCAGATCTGCTCGTGTAGCTCACTGCTGACTTTGATCATAAGTGCATCCTCACAATGTCAAAGCAGATCCAAGCAGGTGAAGCTGGGGAGGAGGCGGGGCCACAGCACCGAGCCACATCAGACGTACCAGCCTGGAGGCGAGTTAGCAGTGTAAGTATATGATAACGACTGAATGAGAGTTGCTAATTCATGTTAATGCTGACTTTTGAACAAGATCTGCAATGTTAAAAACGTATCTGCGGCTACCTGCTTGTCATGGTGATTTGATTACTTCTCTATTTAAATGAACTCTCTCATTTTGTCCTCTGCAAAGCTCAGGAGTGACTGAAGTACCCTTCAACCGATCACTGACCTCTCCATCAGGTATCCGGGTGCTGCGCTGCAGCTCACTTTGACTCATCCGGAGGCAGAGATTTGTTTTTGTTGAAGGCAAAATGTATAAAAAGCCGCGATCCAATTACCTGGTGTGTAAAATTGCTAATAAACGTATCTGACTCTGCAGTGTGAAGGTGGGCGGTGACAACAGGTCATGCTAATCCTCCCAAGCAAAAGGACAAAAGCCATGAAGCAAATGTGGGTATGAGCGCGCACGATAAGAGATGGGGAACGTTTGAATCCATGTATCTCGTTGCTCATCATGTCAAATTCATTGTTTTTGTTTTAGTCCCTGTTCTTCTTCTACGGGACGCTCTTTGATGAAAAAAAAAATCTGAATGTAATATGGAAGATGACTTTGAAGTGTCGCTGACACGTCCGAGGCTCGTCGCGATGTTTACTCTCGTAATCATTTTCTGCCACGATGTCTGGCGGTTATCAAAGCGTTCTCCTGCTGTGACAGATATTTGAGAGGATCAAAGGAGAACAGGTGAAAAAAGATGTGAAGAGAAGAGAAGGGACTCGTGAAACGGACAGGCCTCTAACTACGATGACAGGTGATGCTCTTTGTTCATATCAACAGAGACTTTTAAAAATGGCTGATATGATTCAAATCCTCCAAACATCCGAGACTAAATGAATGTATCATTGACCAACTGTCAACACTAACTGGCCCATATAAAACAAACTTGATCCCGTCACTCGTGGCGCCAATATCACAACTATAACCAGTTCAACAATCATAACAAGAGTCCCTGCCTTCAGTAAATACATCTGACAAGATATTGTGTTCAGTGTGTGTGTACGAGAGGGAGAAAGAAAAGTGTTGGACACAAACCAAGATGGGGGTCATACGGCACAACCATTTACGCAGCAACATATTGTGCGAGTGTGTTTTGTGTGCATTTCACCTCCTCCAGCGAGAGAGCAAACACATTCCTAAAGCTCTCAGATTAGAGCGAGGCAGTGGATTTGGCCGCGCTTATCGACGGCACAGCAGAGCAAAAGTGAGTTTCTCACCTAGACAGATGGACGAACACACAACTGCACGCAGAGGAAGAAGAAGGCCGACCGGTTCACTGCAGAGTGAGAGAGTGAGGAAGTAAAGAGAGATGTCTTACTGTGTGTAGACAAAACCGATTAACTGTCAGAAACGCCGCTACAGTAGCTGTTGGAACATAGTTATGAGTTTCAATATCTTTTTTTCTTTGCTGTTTAAATGCATTTCCTTGAATCAACCTGCCGTCTGGCCACAGATGATTTGATCTGACAAAAGCTGTTTATGGTAATTTGAGTTTAAATGGCGATGTGATGTGATTGTGATGAAGTTAGCTCAACTCTCTGTACATTTGGCAAGAGGGGGCAACAAATGAAAAGAGATTACAAGACTTTAAGGAATTAGTGAAGCATTCCCTCTGTGAAAACTTTAGTTGTTTATCATACATCATAAGTTTTTATAAACCTGCTGTTAAAAGATCAACTGCTTGCTGCAGTATCTAGTGAAAATGAATGTGTAAATTAACTTCTGGAATAAAAGGATGAAAACAAAATATTTTTTCTGTTTTCTTTTGACTGTTTACGTGGACTACACAAGACAAGATGGCCACAGAAAGACTTCCTAAGAGACGTTTGGCTCATGCAAGTGGATTCTGGAGGCTTGGTGAGGTCGTGACTACTCGCGAGCTAACCGCTTACATGCTAACCAAGTGGGAACCTCCGGTTGTGCCGGAAAAACTGCAGTTCCACAGAATGACCACTTGAGGCAGGTTCCAAAAGCGAGTCAATCCCCATAGACCTCCATGTTAAAATGCACAACTTTAAAGCAGAAATACAAATCTTTACAGCCTGGTACAAAAAAGTGGTTTTGGTGCCAATATTCCCGTTCATGACAACAGTTTAAATTACATTAATGGTTAAAGTTAGGCATAACGTAGCTACAGTATCTCCTCTGCTGTGAGTTCCCAGATTGCATTTTGCCCGATGCGTTCCGCCTCTTTTGCTGCTCCACGCAGACTCAGTCAACCAAAGCCTGCTCGAACGTTTAACACGACACAAACCACAAATGAAAAACCAGGACGCTTCCAATGCCAAACAGATGAATGCAGGAACTGTTTGTAGATATTAGCTAACTGTCAGTTAGCTTGGTGGATAACAGGACAAATAGGTTCCCACTGGTTATTCAAAAGAAATCGACTCATGTCGTTATGTAAAAATGGATAATGCAACCCAGCTAATAAGCTACAATAGCGTATTAGCTCATTTTGTAAAGTTCACCAAAGTTGATTTTTTTTGTTCTCTAATTGCCGATTCTATCAAAATGAATCAACTTGGCTGCTTTATATGGCGGTGCGACTACATCTTTGAGCCGAAATGCTCCTTTAAATCCCCCCCAAGAGATACTAAATTCAGCAGTGCTTCTATCAACAGATGAGTAATGCTGGAAAACACACGGACCACCCAGAATGTTTGGAATGCTGGGAAATGTATGCACATCAGCTGGAAGTCAGTCCAACTTTTCTGTTTTTCTAACTGGTGTATGTGTCTGTGTGTGTGTAAATATGCGTGTCCCTATATGGCTGTATATATATGTGTGTGTGTGTGTGTGTGTTCATGTGCGCACCAGTGGCACCTTCAAAGTCACATTAACGGGAAGGCAGCAGGCATCTGTTCACGCAGTCAGCTGAGACACAGAAATTGACAGAGTGAGACACACTCAGTTGGGTTCATGTGGACATAAACCCACACTCTCACACACACACACACACACACACACACACACACACA